CTTCCCAGCCTCCATGAGACTCCTATCTCCCATAAGCCACTCAGAAAACCATAAGTGGAGCTGTGGCTCAAATAGAGTGCTTGCCTTGAGCTGAAGAGCTGAGGAACAGCACCCAGGCCCAGAGTTCAAGCCCCGCAACAAAAAAAAAAAAAAAAAAAAAGGAAAGAAAGAAAGAGAAAATATTCTTGAGCAAATGGAAGAAGTGACATTGTCCAAAAAGAAGTGTACTATTGCTAGGTACCAGTGGCTCACACCAGTAATCCTAGCTAATCAGTAGGCTGAGATCTGAGAATTGTGGTTCAAAGCCAGCCCAGGCAGAAAAGTCCCTGTGAGACTCTTATTTCCAATTAACCACTCAAGGACCGAAGTAGAGCTGTGGCTCAAAGTGATAGAGTGGTAACCATGAGCAAAAAGAGCTCAAGGACAGTGCCAGGCCCTGAGTTCAAGCTCCACAACTACCCCAACAATGAAAGAAAGAAAGAAGAAAGAGAGAAAGAAAGAGAGAAAGAAAGAGATAAAGAGCAAGAGAGAAGAAAAATATACTTTTTAACCTTACCTATGTAACTTGAACCCTCTGTATATCACCTTTATAATACTAATTTAAAAATTTATAAAAAGAAAACAATCTCCATTTCTTCTACTACACTGCTGAATTATGAATGTTAACAGCTGATATTTGTCATTTTCACCTTTATATGCTATCATAAACAGAAACAACTTAAAGAGGCATTTTGTTATGCTTCTCTAGTGGATATCTGTTATAATTAACATAACCCATTTATTTATTTATTTGTTTGTTTGTTGGTCAAGGGACTTGAACTCTCGCCCAGGGCACTGTCCCTGAGCTCTTCAGCTCAAGGCTAGTGCTCTACCTACAACTTGAGCCACAGCGCCACTTTTGGATTTCTGGTTGTTAACTGGAGATAAGAGTCTCATGGACTTTCCTGCCCAGGCTGGCTTTGAACAGTGATCCTCAGATCTCAGCTTCCTTAGTAGCTAGGATTGCAGGCATGAGCCAGTAGCACCTGGCTCCATATTTATTTATTTTTGAGGCTAGGTCTTACTATGTAGCCCAGACTGCTTTGAACTCTTGACATCCGGTCTCAGCCTTTTGAGTACTGGGATTATAGGCATGTACCACCACACTGGGCTTCCCCCCCCCCATGTGTGTGTATTGGGGCGGGAAGCTGCTGGCTTTAAAACTCAAGGCCTTATCCTAGCTAAGCAAGAGTTCTACTACTAAGCTATACTACCAGCCCTGGTTGCTCAGTTTTAACTACACCCTTTTATTTATTTAAGCACATTAAATACATTTGCATTCTACATTGTATACCATCAGTATCTGAGATGCTCGTGCATCTGTTTCTGTTGACTCTTGCTCATAGTAAGGAAACTTTGCCTTGTTTCCTTTTGTGGTTCATGACCTTAGACTGTGAGGTGACATTGGCTTTTCCAAGCTTGGGTTTCATTGTCTTTCTTCTTTTTCTTCTTTTCTCCTTCTCTTCTTTTTTAGGTATTGAATTCAGACCTTTACATATTAGGCAAATGTTCTACAACCTCAGTTACTCCACCCTTGCCCCCTCCCCATTTGCTCTTATTTCTCTTTTGAGACAGTCTTGATGGTTTCTTTGCCTTGGTTGGCCTTGAACTCTCAATCCTCTTGCCACTGATTTCCAAGTACTGAGTATTACATGTATGAACCATCATACCTGACTCACTCTCCATCCTCCCATCCTCCCATCCTCCCATCCTCCCATCCTCCCTCCTTTCCTTTCTTCCCTTTTGTGGTGCTAGGGTTCCACCTTGCTAGGCAAGTGCTCTACCACTGAGCTACCTTTTTTTTTTTTGGTCGGTCATGGGGCTTGAACTCTGGGCCTGGGCGCTGTCCCTCAGCTCTTCAGCTCAGGGCAAGCGCTCTACCACTTGAGCCACAGCACCACTTCCTTCTTTCTTTTCTTTTCACTTTCTTTCTTTCCTTCTTTCTTTCTTCTTTCATTCCTTCCTTTTTTTTTTGGGTGGGGGGTCTGGTCGTGGGGCCTGAACTCTGGGCCTGGGCGCTGTCCCTCAGCTCTTCAGCTCAAGGCTAGCGCTCTACCACTTGGGCCACAGCACCACTTCCGGCTTTTTTCTTTTTGCTTATGTGGTGCTGAGGAATCGAACCCAGGGCCTCAGGCATGCAAGGCAAGCGCTCTACCACTGAG